TATGAGAAGCTGGAGAAGTACCAGGGCCTGAAGGAAGAACTAGAGAGGATGTAGAAAGTGAAGGCCAAAGTGGTCCCGGTGGTGGTAGGAGCACTCGGGGCTGACTCCTTAGCTGGGAGAGGGGCTCCAGCAGATCCCAGGAACAACCTCAGAGCTCTCTGTGCAGAAGAGTGCAGCTCTAGGAACAGCTAAGATACTGCGCAGAACCCTCAAACTCCCAGCCTCTGGTAGAGGACCTGAGCTTGAGGAAGCCACATACCACCCATAGGGGTGAGAGGGGAATTTTTGTATATATATTAGTATGGGAGCACATTGTGTATTACATGTATTTTATACATGTGCTTTTTCTAGCATCTTCAGAAGTGGGCCAGCCCAAGTAGCAAAACCTCTGGCTTTCCTGTTCCCAAGAACCCAGGTTTGTCACATTTAGCAAACCAGCTGCCCTAACAAGCCTACCACTCCCAGGAAAATATGACTATGTGGGTTTATTGATCCTCCCTTACAAGCAAGCAAGAGATTGGGGTTGGAAGTGGGGAGAAATATGAACCAGGGCAGAAAGACTGAATTTGAGCCTAGACAGCAAAGTTGTACTATTCTCCCTCCTTCTTCCAGATCCCTATGATCACAGTGCAGCTGAACAGAAAGGAATGACTCTCTCAGTGGCCACAGAGTGTAAGATGGGAAAAGAAATTCAGCATTGTCTGACTGGAAATACGAAAATATTCAACAGCTGCAGCTGCAAGTAGGTTCTGTCTTACCAGCTCCATCGGGAGTGATGGTTCCCAACTTTACAGCCAAGGGGTAACCAGTTTCTCTGTAATGTTCTACAGCATGGTTGTTGCCTCCACTGCCATCAAAGTAACGCCGTCCACACAAGATGGAGCCATCTGTCATGTTAAGCCACAGGTTCTCCCGCATGTCACACTTGCTGCATTTCCAGCCGCTGTCAATGGAAGCAGTTAGGCACTATAAACATCTTCTCTCAATCATGCATTGAACAACTCTCAAGTCTGACTCCTTTTTGGTAAATTTCCAGGCTTTCACTCTACATCCTCAGTTGAGTGACCATAAGGAGCAGCTCATATGCTTCTATTAAAATCTGGAGGGAAAGTACAGTAAGTTATGAAGGAGCTCCACATGTAGAAAAGAAAAAAGTGCTAAGGAACACCATCAAACTCACCAAGGAGGGATACGCACACCATTCTCGAGCTGCTGAAGTGAAAAGGCATGCCTGGACACACGCCGAACCTCCCCATCCCAAGCCTGCACCTCCTGTTTACGGGAGGCAGAATCTGCTGTCAGAATAGCTTCAATTGCACTAGAAATCTGGAATGCCAAAGGAGAAAAGAAGAGTCAGAGACTACCAAACCCCGCCCAAAACATCTACTATCAACAGAGATCTGAAGCCTCACATACCAATTTGGCCAAAAAATCTCCCCATATGTTCAAGCCTGGTCCATCACCCCAACTCTGCCTCTAAAGCAAAGCCAGCCAGACCATATAATTTTTTTCTCCTAGATGAAACACAGAACTTACCCTGTCCTTAACCATATCTGGCAGACCATCTAGTCCATCCTGAGGGATATCCAAATGGTCTGGTAAAATAACTATTTTGACATGTTCATCATATTCATATTTCTCCTCTGGGATGTCAAATCCACCTTCCACACCTATCAAAATAGATATGCAACAGCAGCAGCATCATAAACTCTGGGTGTTGTGAAATCTAATTAAAGGAAACACCAAATTATGCAAACTCTGCACCAACTTAGTACTGTACAGATAAAACATAAGAGGGAACATGAATTCAAATCTTCTTGCAGTCTTAAGAAAACTAGAGCCCATCTATGTTCAAGAATAGAACATAATAGAAGAGCAGATTTAATTCTTTACCAATAGCTAGACGGGTTGGTTTCTTCCGGGGAGGATCACCAGCACTGGAATTATTATCTTCTTCTTTCTAGAGAAGAACCAAAAGAGAATTAATTAGCAGCCAGCCATTCCAAATGTCCAGACTCTTGGGCAGCAGGAAAGCACATAGCAGCATTCATTTGGACCCAACCTTTCTTCCCCTGCTCTAAAATTTAAATAGAGTTCTGTCCAAGGCAAAAAGGTTACCCTTCTTACCAATCTGCGTGTTTTCTTAAGATGTAAATAGACCCGCTGGCCTGTTTTTTCATAATATTTCTCCACATATTGCTTTCCAAATCCCAGGAATGTGTTCATACAAATATATAAGCCTCCATCTGATTCCTGCAGAATCAAAAAAAGACATTACTTCAATAGAAAGGGAGCTCATCCAATCTCAGGATTACCGAATTTTCAAGGCTGTGTATAATGTAGTTGTGGCCTGAATAAATTATGCAAATACATAATTTCATAAACATAATTTATGAAAATCCCTCCTTGTACATACTTTATCAAGCTCTGCCAGGCACTGAAATTCCACTCTTACCCACTGAGAATCTTGTATTGGTGAGACCTCTTTCCTTTGAGATCTTAGTAGGTTAAGATGAAAAATACACCTTCAAATATACGTTTGCAGCCATGAAGTCTAGAAACTTCCACTTAAATTTTTTTCCTGATTGTTTTGGCTATGGCCACAATTTGTTTGGACATTCAGGATGACAGGAAGTATTCCCTGATGCTCCCACCCACCACTGACTGAATCTGTTCTCAGCAATGGGGATGAAAGAGTTTGTTGCAATGAGTCCGAGTGGTCCCCTATCAATAGGCACATTGTATAATCATTTCATATGAAGATAGATTCATTAAATGAATTTTACTATTTACTAACCTCTTTCTGCAGCTCCCCGATTTTAATTATGCATCAATGCTATTGTAGTTACACCAGATAAACTATTCTTAGTGTTCTTTCTTCCAGTAACTAAGTGACTACAGTAATCCAGTTCACAGATCTTGTTTGGCCACTCTAGATGCCCATGACATATTTCATACAAGCGCAATACTTATTTTAGCAGAAGCATACCTCAAGTGCAATATTCACATTTCTGTATCATTTTGCCATCTAGAAAAGATGTGGGGAAACTATGGTCTTTCAAGCATTGCTGAACTGCAACTCCCAGCATTTATCCCCAGTGGCTATAATGGTTAGTATGGTTGTGAGTTTCAATATCTGAAGGGCACAAGTTCCCTACCCCAATGTAGAGAAAACACCTGAACCTGTATGCAAGACTTCTGACATATTTCAAGTTGGTTTGTGTAGAACTATGTCCCTAATGTACAACACGTGGGTCATTTCTTCCACCTCAACTGAATAAATATGTTATATGGCTATTGGCTTTGACCAACAATATGACTGTTCATGAGACAGACTGAGTTAACAGGGAGGGAAAAGGAAAGTAATTCTGAACAATGTCAGATGGTGACTAGGATTTTGCTCATCTGCAATAGCAATAGCTGATATGGATAAAATCAAGTGGTGGCAATACCCTACAAATAAGCTGAGGAAATGCAACTGAACCACAAGAGAGATGGAACAGCTTTTTCTTCATACTATGATATCCATTTATAGTATTTTTTTAAAAAAGCATCCAACATCAAAACACTCACCCTAAGCTAATGCAAAAGACAAAGCTAGCAACCCAGTCTTATACTGAGAAAGAGCTTTCTATAAAGTGTTTCCCCATCATAGTACAACGGCATTGCTAACAGAGATCTCGCCTTCATTCTGTAGCGATATACTTGCCTGTATCTTGCAGCCTGAGTTGGTTTTATTAACCATAAAACAGTATTTATCTCAGAAAACAGTTAAGACATCACCTGTTCTTTACTTCAAAAGACTGCGTGTACATGATATTTTGAAGCAGCCTTAGCATCTGTTCTCAGTAAAATCCATGGATGGGGCTGAACAGGGGAAGTGGGTTCTGCAGCTACAGTACAGTACAATACAGGATTTCCCAACTTGCTTAACAGAATGTCAGAAATATCCAGTAAACTAAAACTATTATCAAAGTAAAATAAGCCAGTTGACACAATTCTAAATATTCTGAACATCTCCTCCTGTCATTAGGCACTGTAAAATCATCTAAAGCCGAAAATTAGTACTGTAAATCTTATTCGCAAAGTAAGACGGTAGGTGGGTTTAAGATTTTATTATGATTGTGCGTTATTTTCATTGTGATTGTAAATATATGATGATGTATATTTATTTCATTCCTTTTGTGTAATTTTAACTGCTATTTATTTCTTATTTGTCAACTTTTTATTGTGGTATGGCCACACCCCATTGGAGAACACATTATAATTTTTTGTTTGCTTGTTTCTTTGTTATATTTCCCAATCCTTCCTCCATGGGACAAAATATATTGTGACAGGGAAGCAGGTGTTATCTGAGATCCTATATTCAGTTTTTATAAGCTGCCAGAACAGGTACTGAAATAATGCTAAACAGTGGGCGGCAAGTAGTTAGGACCACTGAGCACAGCTGAAATGCTGAGAGTGTATCACAGCGGTTTCTAACCTTTTTGGCACCAGGGACCGGTTTCGCGGAAGACAATTTTTCCACGGACCGGGGTGGGGATAGTTTCGGGATGATTCAAGCACATTACATGATAGGGTTTTGATATGAGTCTGCAAGTGACTGATTTATTACGGG